TTAATCCCACATGTGTTTACCGGTCAGGCTGGCACAATAAACTAACTACCTCAGAGTATTTCATATTGTTTCAGATAATTGTGAATCTTCTTCTTTGATACTACACTGAAACTCCACAAGTAGTAGTTTTTCAAGGTTAAATGCAACATGGAATCTGAAAATATATTTAGAACTTTGTGTACTCTGTTACATTAAATACATGTGTTTGTTTTGTATTGCTTCATCTTGCACTCTGAAGAGCTCTTTTGCTGAAATCTGATTTTGTAACTCCACATTTTTCCTCATTTGGACTATGTGGGTGCGGTGAGTTATTTAGATCTTCCAAATGTTGGCAGATGTCATTGTGTGCTATGTTACTGTCACATTCATTAATGTCACTACCAGTCTCACTGTTTTAAAAGTATTGAAGTTTGGGGAAGCTGCCAAGTCCACAGAAGTGGATACATGTTTTACAAATTCCCAAACATCTCTTGCAACCTTGGCTTTTATCATTGGCAACAAAAGCCATTTTCCTTGAAATGACAGGCTAATTTCTTACTATTTCAAGAAAATATCTGCCAAATACAGAAGCCTGAACAACCATTGTTGGTCTGTAAATCCTTCTGTCAAGTGAAAATGGTGTGTCATTTTAAAAAAAAGAGTTGGGGGGGGGGGCGCGCTGGCTGGGCTCACAACTCAATCAATCATAGAAGTAATTTTCCTCAAGACAACTTCCATAGAGAGACGTGCATCATGGGGACACTCTGTCTTCACAGAGACTATTCCAACAACGTTTACCGAGGCTGGTGCTGGAGGTGTAGTGGGTCACACCTGGCTCTGCAAACCCAGGACCAGCAGCTCAAAACCACCAGCCCCAGGACACGAGAAAGATGAGCTTTCTACTCTAGTAAAGGCTTCCAGACTCAGAAACCCACAGGGGCACCCTGTCTAGCCTGCTAGGAGTCAGAATTGGCTCGACAGTGAGTTTGGTTTGAGTGTACTCAGGGATCAAAATTTAATGAAATTCTGAAAGTCTTATTGCGTTATCCAGGGCATTCATAAGGAACTTTACACATATTGTTGTGTGTAATAATACACATGCCTGTGTATATGTGTATTCACGCGTGTGTATATTTGTGTGTGTATGTGTGAATACTGTGAGTGTGGCAGTGAAGAATACAGTGACCACTCGTATCGTTTATTGCCTTTGCTTGATTCACACTAGCACACCAGCAATTCTGCCTACCACTTTGCAATTACTGTACTTTGCAATGTCCACACAGTAAAACATTAACATCACTGCAAATGTTGATGCAGTGTGAAAAGGCAAATAACACCTTATTGTTATGGAAACAGTTTTCCTTTATAATTCCCCATGGAGGCCACTGCTGCTGTAGGACATCCCTCGCAGAGGTGGCGGCTTGCTGGACCCCAGGGTCCACTTCGCCTGGTAATGCCAGAGGAGCTGTAGCCCTGTGCATGCCCAGCAGGCCGATGAAGGTTAGTCTTACTCTACATCTGTATTAACATGATGGTGAGACTTTTCAACCTTTGCTGAGCTGTGAGGGCAAGCATCATTTCAAGCGTCTCAGTCCTTCTTGATTGCTCTTGTAACTGCTTGCCCCTGAGATCCGCCCAGTTTTCTGTCGGTAGTTTGTGTTTGTGTATCTCTTGATGATTTGGACTTCGAAAATATGTTTATAATAAACTAACTATGTTTAGTTAGTGTATTAAAATATGTTTCCTCGAAAATAATCTCTTGTCAATTGCAGGTAAGTGCCGTTCTCATCTCTGGATTGCTTGCTGTGCTTTTCACTCGCGTTGTGATGTCTTTTGATGAACGGGTGTCCCTCAGTTTCACCTACTCGCTCTTCCTTGGTCATTGTCCTTAAGCAATCTGCCCACCTCCCTGCACAGGTCACCAAGATAATCGCTTATGTTTTTCCTCCGGAAGTTTTACCATTTTGCTTTTCATGTTTTAAGTCTTTGATCTATCAATTTGGGAATCATTTAAATGTTCATGATGTTGAATCTTCCATTCTGTAAATATAGTATGTCTCTCCATTTATGCAGATCTTCTCTATAATATTTTGAAATAAGTTTAATAAAATTTAATAATAAAAGTTACCTAGATTTCAGCTAGATGTCTCCCTTGGGCGTCTTATGCATGTTCTTGCTATTACTCATGGTATCTTCTTTGTTGTATGTCCTAACTGCCTGTTATTAGAAGCCTGTCATTTATTTTTACACATCAATTTTTATATCTGGCTACATTATAAGCCTTGATTGTTGAAGCAATTTCTCTATTCTCTTCAGTTTTATGTGGATAATTATATGTCAATTATATTATACATAGCAATTACATCGTAAGATAAAGATTGCAGTTTTTCTCTTATTTCTATGGCAGTCATAGAACAGAACATTCAGTGAGGAGATGGGTGTGAGTGACACGTCGTTTTTTAA